TATACACACGTATACGCCATATTGAATATGTAGTATTGTTCAGTTATTGTTTGTAAACATTGATAAAACTAAGTCAAGATTCGAAATTGACTCAGGACGTTTTTAAAAAGACTTTATTAATAAACTTATAACTATGAATGTGCGATACATTACTTATATACTACTTAATTAATCCGCGATGGATTCTAACCTAAGGCTACATGTCCAATACATGTGCGAGTCAAACTAAGACTATGCTAATTCTTATTCTAGATCTTTAAGCTAACGAACAGTTATCAGTATTCACACGCAAGACCACCCGTCTTCAGGACGCAATTCAGCAATCTACGCCCACGTTTACGCTTGAATTGTTAAGGTCTCCGGTGCAGTTCCGTGAATACCGGGATGCATAACTCTTCCCCCCTCAGATTCGAAATTACCGGGCGAAGTTTTCCGAGTCCGATAATTTCGATACAAATATTTTTTACAAAGGATTACAATTATTATAACTAAAATTACATATAAAATTAATGTCCCGATACTTATGTCCTTCACATTTATGACACTTCACTTTGCTTACTTTTTACATTATCACTGGTTAATATGTAGTTTAGCTGCTGTAGATTGGTCAGGTCCACGTCATCCAGGTTTACTGGTGCTGGATTTGAAGATGTCTTCATTAACAACTGTGATGTTTCCGGAAGATTTATTATTGGTAAGGGAGTTAACGGGTACTCCTCTATATTTTCATGATGCCTTTTTAGACTGAATCCCTTAATTTTAGCTTCGCAGTTGTCGTCGGGTGAGATTATGTATGTCCCAATTAAATTATAGTATGATATTTCATTTCCACATTTTTGGTAAGTAATACTGTAGTTTTTGAATAAAACATCCATCGATTGGTTTCTATTTTCATTATCTTTACATCATTAAACTCTACTAATAGGGGCCGGCATTGGGTGGTGTTAGCTGCAAAACTCATTAGGCTGGTTACACAATCATCCTTAATTAACATGGATGAATAATCCTCTTCACACAGGAACAGTGAATCATCAATTTCTTTACATGGGTGCAGAAGTGACACCGCTTTCAATCCTTTCATCAGAAGGTAGGGGTATTTGGGTACAATAAGGGATGTTTGATTCATGGAATTAGTGCTAGGTAAAGGAAGAATTTTGTAATAAATATATATATTCGAATCAACTAGGGGTATATCTAGAATAAAGGTTATTTGATTTTCCTTTGCATATACTTTTAAATCTATAATTTCTCTCTCTTTTTCTTCTCTATCTTTGCTCTAATTTTAAAATGTTTTCTACTTTTACAGGAAATACAAGATTATTTCTTCGTTCAATAATTTTTAACAATGACAATAGTTCATCGGTGTCAATAATAGACTGGTGCAATTTTCCTAGTTTACTAAAAGCTACCGCTGTTTCAATTTCAATCCAGTTTGATATATATAGTTTGAAAGTTATGTAGAAATAGGTTATATACATTAGATATTTTAAGTTCCGTTTGGAAGTTATTTGATATATTATTTTGTTTCTCATTTCCCAAAGAGTTTTATCCAGCTGTATGAAATGAATTTTGTACTATTTGTAACATTAATAAAAGTTTTCATCATTTCGGCGACCACTGTCATTTTTCTATTTAGCTGACCTTGATTTACTTTTACATCATTTATTAAAGCATCGTACTTTATGGCATCATCATTGTCCAAATTACCTGTCACGATTTTAATAAGAGACCCGAGATGATTCAGAATACCGCGTTTAGTCTTTTTCGATGGTAATAGTTGCTTTAATTTTTCAATTATTATATTTTGAATATAATCTGTTTGAATTTTTAAATTATTTATTTCAGAGTTAATTATTTTTTTACCAAAATAGCGTGTCACGTGTGTATTTAGGTTATCGTACCGATTCTTATTAAATTCTAGATCCTCACGTATTAAGCTTAAGTATAATATCTTAACTAAAGACCACTTATCGTTACTAACGAGAGCTTGTCCCTCCTTTATTGGTAGTATGCCGGAATTTCGGACAATCGGTTGAAGTAGAAGCGCCTGGGTCCTGAAGACTTGCAGCAGGAACAGAATGAACCTGTGGAGGACGTTTTATATCCTTAATTGGGGCCCTCGTATTTTGACCGTGATACTTAACTGGTACTGTGTTTCTAACTATATCTCCTATGACCTCTGCTTTTTCGTAACGCGGTTTATCCTTACTTCTACTAACGTTCGTGCCTTTTATAAATATTGTATCCTTATTTTGTAATCTTTTAATATCTTTAGTTACTTTTAGGGGCTTAGAGAAAATTGTGTCCTTATTTTCTAATCTATCGATTTCTTTGGTTACTTCTAGGGGCTTAGAGAATATTGTGTCCTTATTTTGTAATATTTTAATTTCTTTGGTTACTTTTGGTGGCTTAGAGGACGTCATGGTAACCCTACCGTCGGACGTATTTTGTGTTACCGTATCTGCAAATGAATTAACGCATTTTACTATAGTGCCTGGCATATTAACTACTTGACCAAAATCGACATAATCTACTATTGCGTTTTCATTTTGCATATCTGTTGGGACCTTGACTAGCGTTTCCGTTCTTTATTCCAACGTAATTTCGTATGGGAGGTTATATATAATAGGTATATTTGTGTCGCGTGTGTGCAATACTTGATTTTTCATATCTATTGAAGCGTCAAGTTGTTTTAAAACATCGTAACCTATTAAACCGTCATATCTACTATCGACGTCTTATACATAGAATTTGTGTTTTTCTAAACTTTTAAATGTTTTAAAGAGCAGGATACATATAGCTTCGTTATGTTGGCTACGTGCATGCGTACTTATAACTTCGAAAGGTTCATATAATTTGAAAGCGGAGAAATATTGTTCTGCCTTAGATGTAGGGGGAGTCCGGGAGAGATGAACCACTTTTTGTTTAAAGTATCGTAATTTTCTTTATTTAAGACTTAGGGATTCAACTATAGTATTAAACATTAGCTTATTTATTTGGGTTTACTTATGCATAATAACTTTTTGGCTTTGATAAAACTGAAATATGTTAAACATACTTCAATGAAAAATGGGATATGGGTCAACTCTCCCCACTCCAGGGGACACTTGACCCGGGATACGGGGAGAGTTGAACATGGTTTTTTTTATAGGCTGATACTATTAATTGTATACCTACAAACAGTGAGACAGAATAAACTATTTTTTTTATAGTGGATAATTAAAAAATAAACAGCTTAAATCACGTATTTATTTGAAAAAACAACAAAATGAAACTAAAATTATAAGGAATCACAGTTATATACTGTTTATTTAACAAAAAAATCAAACAAAACTTCTTCATAAACATTTCACGTCAAAATAATTATTATATCCTTATATCAAACTTTCTTAATCTTATTTTTAAATTATTATACTTATTCTTATGACATAGTATCATCAGTCTTCATAATTACTTTCTGTCATCTGGTAACCTAAAAATACCTTCTTCTTGGTTCTTAACATTTGGTTTAAATTATACTTATTCTAACAATTTGGTAAGTTTCATCATTAAATTAGTAATTTTTTCAATCAGCTGGTCTTAAATGTTAGTTTTAGGTACATTCACGAGAAATATAATCGTCAACATCATCTGTAAATCCTACACATGTGGCATTGTTTCTTGACCAGCTATCAGGACACTTTTTTGAAATTACTGTGGCGAAATCAAAAGCCAATTGCATTGCTTGCTTTCTAGTCAGACCATAATGCATTTTACTGCATGATAGTAAATATTCAACAAGGAGTTTTCTTCAGAAACAGTAAATATTTGTGACCCTTTATACTATTTTTTTCTTTAAATTTGTTTAGTTTTTCTTCATTCAATTTATAACGTCTTATTGTACTTCTATCGATTCCATACTTAATAGATGTTTTTCTTATCGATGCACCCTCTTTTACCTCACTTATAGCGTTTTCTAACTCAGTGGCGGTATGTTTTTTTCTTTGGAGTGTGTTGTGTGAGGGCTTGCATTTAAGCGGCATTTTTCATCCAATTAACCTATAGTAAAAAGTTTTATTTAACGCAATAAAGCAAAGAAAACACAAACCAAACTCCAAAATCTGTCCAATATAAACACTATAGAGGGAGATTTGAACCACTGAACATGTCTCCCAACCTCCCCATGGTGCAACTCTCCCGCATATACTACATTGACATCAAATTTTATTCATAGAAAAACCATTCAATATTAGCGAAAAAACACTAAGCGCACGTCAAACAATAATAGCGGCGTTTTCTACCCCGAAGGTAGGAAAACGCTTATTTCAGGTCTTGCCAAGGCTTGACCTTTCGGAGATTACGCTTTCCCCAAATCAATGCAAACAGTGTTGTTTCCACTCAATTAACCCCTAACCAGTGCGAGTAAGCGAGAGGGCAGCTGTATCCGTCTCGCAGAATCGGGCAGACGGCAAGACGTTAGCGGCGTGGAACGCACCGCGACCTTTTCTCAGTACCTCTTCCGTGAGCATGCCGGCAAGGCCTTGCTCAGGTCAAGTCTTGGCAAGACCTGAAATAAGCGTTTTCCTCCCTTCGGGGTAGAAAACGCCGCTATTTCATGTCTGCGCCTTCGGCTTGCCCATTCGGAGAGGTGTTTGGATTCTGCCGGCATATTCTTAAACTAGTTGTTAAGAACTACTAGTTTAAGAATAGTACTGTGACTATAAAAAAATATGATTATCTGTGAGTAACTAAGTTGATTTATTTATAACGAGAATAAACAAATAAAATATCTATTCAAACTTAAAATACTCGTTTATTTTGAACATAACAACTAAAACAAGAAAATGAAAAGAGGGAACCGTATTTGATTCAACATATAAATATGTATTTCTCCTTTCTTTAGTTACACTTAATAATGTTGTGACCCAAAAGTGTAAATTAAAGTTACGATCTTCTGATTTAAGAATTTTTCAGTCTGATTGCATGTTGTTCACCTTATCTGTTTTCGACCCGAATTTTTGCTAAAAAATCACATAATTTGAATCTATCTCCATGAACTCATTTCCTGTAGAAAGTAAGGTAAAGTCATGAATCCTTCGTCCGGATGCAAGCAATAAAAGTAATGCAGTATACATCGAGGTTTGAAAAATACTATTTCTATCAGGAAGATTTTTCTTCATACACGATAACAACGTTTCTACATTCCAAACTTCGCTCTTACGTTTTAACGCTGAGCTACCTTTAAGGCTCACAGCTTTTAAAATAGATTTCACAATCGGATGTGAACTAATCCTTTCTCCCAATTCAGGATTTGAAAAGGTAGCTACCACGGACTTGTGGACTAGAATAGTTCTATACGCAAACTTTTTATGTACACATAGGTAACTAAGATACAATGCAACTTGTTGTAGTGTAGGAACTGTTGTATTTATATCATTCATTTTACACCATGTAAGCCAAGAATTCCAGGCTGTTTCGTATGTTTTCATTGTAGAGTCGCACCATGCTAATCGTATCAACGGCAGGACTTCTTCGTTCCAATCTATTAAAAGTGGATCCCACCCGCAATTTTCCAGACCTCTAAAGACAGGTTTCTGATGTCTGGAGGAGGCTTGTTGGTCGTCAAGTCTATCAAGTGATCTCCAAGATTCTTTATCATGAATGGTTGATCCTTTGTTCTGTTCCTGAGATCGCCACGCCAATACACTTTTTTCCATCTTGGTGCTACTAGTAGGTACGTTCCTGTGGCATGGTTCAGGTGCTGCAGAACTCTTGGAATTAGAGTTGGAGGAGGAGACCCATCCCAGGTGGTATCTCCAGATCTGACTGAACGCATTGTGGAACACAGCTTTGCTGTCCTTTGGGCTTAGTGACATATAAGTGGGCACTACCGCTGATTGATCTGTTGCAAACAAGTCTTTTTCCGGAATTCCCCATTTTTCGAAAATTATATCTGTTATACTGGACAATAGATGCCAATCGGGCATTGGTAGATTTCTGGAAAGGCGATCGGCAATACAATTGTATCTTCCGGGTATGTAGAACGGATGGATCTGAATTCGGAATTCTCTCGCCATTATCAACAACTTTTTTGTTGCCTCTATTAATATGAGATTTTGTTCCTCCTTGTTTTCTGATATAGGCCACAACAGTCTTGTTGTCCGATTGGATCATAACTGTTTGATCTTTCAATTCGTGTCTGAACCTGTTGAGAACTATCCAAATCGTGTACAACTCCTTCATATTGACATGCGATATTGACCTTTGGGACTTTCTCCAAGGCCCGGAAATGCAAATATCTCCGATTTGAGCATCCCATCCCGTATCTGAAGCATCTGTCGTTAACAGAGTTTTAGGATGTTTTACAAATAATCTTACAACTCTGCATTGCATTTTGCATCTTGCATCTGATTCTCTGACGTTCCTTCTCCACCAAATACACTCCTCTAAAAATTTTAGAGGTATCAATATTCGTAGTCGAGGCGCTTCTTCGGGAAGAAGTCGACTTGCTCTTTGTAGATACCTTGTGTTTAGGCGACCCAATGGTGTTACGAAGGCAGCAAACGTCAATATCCCTATCAGCGAAGTACCTATTTCCGAATTCCAGAATTTGGAATTTATGACTCGGTCGAGATCCTAAAGAATTCTGTTCACTTTCTTTTCGGGAAGAGACTTTCGATTTATTGCGGTGTCCCACAAGATTCCCAGAAATTCTAACTTTGTGGGAAAAAGAATAGATTTTTGGAAGTTTATTACCCAAGGTAAGTTGAGTAGAACCGTTTTCACATACTTTATTTCGCTGCTGAGAGCATTTTGGTCTTGACTTGCTATCAGAAAGTCGTTCAAATACACTATTACCCGAATGCCTTTTTTTTCGTAAATGACTTGCTATCCAATTCGTGATCATGGCAAAAGCTAAAGGAGCGCTTGCCAGTCCAAAAGGTAGACACGTCCATTGATAAATCTCTTTTTGGTAAACAAAAGCTAGGAATCGGCCATGTTGCCTTTTGATCGGTACATACTAATATGTTTTTGAAGGGTCTATTTTTGATATGTAATCTAGCTCCTGCAGAAAATTCGGGACATCGTTATGATTTATTAAACTGAACTTTTTGGGTTTCAAAAACATGTTTCAATTAACTGTTTGAGGTTGAAAACAGGTCGCATGGTGTTGTCGGATTCCCTTACGAGAAACATATGAGATAAGAACCTGGTCGTTACTGCTGTTTTTTTCTATAACACCCAATCTTATCATATTTTGTATTTCCTGTTGCAGTGGTGGGGACTCCTTCACTTAAAATCTTCTTATGTTGTGCTTTGAAAACGGTCGCATAACGAAAGGGATAATATACGCTTCTAAGATCTGTAGGATGTGAGGAGGTGGATTTAGTTTTTTCCATTGATGTCGAAAATCCTTCAGTCGACCTCCGTAAAAGTGCGAGTCAATCCCGCTGACCACTAAATTTTCCTCTTTTAAAAGATTTTTGGGTTCGTTTTTCAGATGACTTTGACTGTTTAGATGGAGTCTTGGTAAACTTATTTAGAACTTTGTTAGAGTTCCGTTGAGTGCTTGATGTATTTGTCGAGGACCGAAGTCGAAACTTTGCTTTATTGTATTGTTGTTGGTTTTCCTGAAATGGCTTATTGAATCTTGAATTGAATACTCGAAAGGAACCTCCTTCTCTTTTGATTAGTTCAGATAATTTTGCTATCCGAATAAATGGGTGAAGGTGGGATATCATTCAATTAAGTAGCTAAGAATTCCGATCTAGGTTTAAAAATTCTTCGACGATTTTCGAACACTTCTGATCTACGTACACATGTATAATGTAATAAATCATCCGATGTCTGTTTAAAAGAATCTGATTTAGCAAAAAGAGATTGTTTCAAAACAGAGACCGCTTCCAGATACTTTCTTTCGACCTCATTTAATGCTGCTTCAATCTGTGCCCTTTCTTTCAAGATGCCATGAGTGATAGTGCCTAAGGCAGTATCCGTTATAATAATATAATACCACGTAATAGCCAATATTTTTTGACTGTTAGAAGTTAAATTGCCAAGACCTATCAGTTGAGGATTTACTTTTAAAGTACTAAAAACTGGAGCGGCATGAAGGCGTTTCTGTACATCTTTATATTTTATCTTATTCCAAGAATTTGAGTTCATTTTTTGACATGAATATCCTTGCTCTTCTATCTAAGGTAAAAAATCGGAACAACAGGTGTGAAATCGCAGGAATATTTTTCTATCGGCGATTTTTGTACTGTCCCTATGCCCGGAGCACGCCAAGTAGATTCAGTAGCTATATCTGAGTTTGAGGTAACATCAGAATCGCAGTCTTCGTAATTTCCATGATCTTCTGGCTCTGGATCTTGTTGGCCGTGATCAATAGATACAGCTCTTAGTTGATTTATTTGTAACGATAGAGACTCAAAAATTGACATTACTTTATCGTCTAAAAGATCCCCTAATTAAATTAGCTAATGCTGAAGGTGACATGATTAGCGCTCTACAAAACGCCCAATCCAGCATTTTTGCTTTATAATCACGATACGGTCTTTCTGATAAAAAGGTAGCTTCTGGATTAAAGGCCGTTACAATTCCAATCGTGGGGAGAGCATATCTTATTCAGAAGTTGTGGGTCCGGATTTGCACCAACTGTATCTTTTTTGGATAGCCTTGCAACCTTCCATTCACGCCAACCCTCTGGGAAATTGTTCTTTACTAACTGTTTAAGTCTTTCTAGAACTCCATTATCATCATGTTTCGACGTATCATCGTACAACTCCCCAATTGTAATACATGTTACCACCGCCATCTGAAAATTATCAATTTATTCTTAAGGCAAGAAATTATATTGCATTAAAGCAAGTAACTGCACAGTGCAGAGAGAGTCAATTTTGCATACTATTAAGCATAAAAGGCTAAAACATAGAATAAATAAGCCATTAGGTTGCTTAATACTTAAGCCTCAGAGCTGCTAAGCTGTTGTATCTGAGCAATAAGGCCTGTCATATTTGACCCATAAGGCTATTAAAAATGAGCCGTGAGGCTGCTATATTTGAGCCGAAAGCTGCTTTAAATGAGCCGTAAGTGTATAAATATTTGCCCTTGTTTTTCTTAAAAAGTTATGCAAATAAACAGTAGCCAGTACCACTTTCGTAGCAATTTCTGGTTCCAATAACATTGGTTTTCTTAACACTCTAAATACAGAACTCATGATGCCAAAAGCATTTTCTACTACCCTTCGTGCTCTAGATAAAAGGTAATTGAATATTCTTTCCGGAGAACCTTTGTCTGGGGTTCCTCCAAACGGTTTCATAGTATAATTGCTTAAAGCAAATGCCTTGTCAGCTAATATAACATAGGGCACTTTAATCAAATATGGTGTCTGTAATATACAGGGTGCTGGTAACTTTAATTCATTATTTTCTAATGATTTTTAAAGACTCCACCATCGGATATGCGTCCTTGACATCCAACGTCTACCTACATAAAATTATAATTAGCATCCACCAAGCCAAGCAATACGATGCTGGGAATTTTTTTATAATTTATGTATTCTCCGTGACTATTAATTGGTGATTGAAGAATAATATGTTTGCCATCGAGGGCCCCCGCCCACACAATGAGGAAAATGCCACTGGTTTTCAAAATCTTGTGCTACTTTTAACCATTCTTCTTCTGATGATGGTATCTGAAAATTATGTCACACATTTTACTATTAGGCTATCGTACTGCTAAAACATTATTTGATTATTTTAATTTACAGAATGAAGAATTATTCGAAGAAAATGAATCGATGCGTGAAACTTCTTCCGTGCGATCATCTTTGCCCTGCGATGATCAACAACAGACGCAGCCCGAAACTTCAAGATCAAATAAAAGAAAAATGACTGATGCTTGTGAAGATAATATAGATCTAGATAAAGCTATGGAAGTGTTAAATTATACGGATGATAGTTATGATACGTTTGTTAAACATGTTACTGCAGAACTTAAATATTTTTTTTTAAAAATTTGAAATAGATTGCTTTGACACTCTAAAAGGTATTGCAAACTAACAAACGAATCACCACTTGGTAAAAACCTCAGGGCAATGGCCAGTCGTTCTTTTGTTGTGATTGCTTTGCGACACGATGTATCTTTTTTCCAATTATTGGTTCAAGCTTGATACATAGATCTTCAAAGGTTTCAGAGTTCATTCTGGTAAAATTTTTAATAGTTTCTTCTACGCCTTCAAAGGTCATATCTGACAACAACTGTTTTGCATGAACATTTCGCTGACGATATATTTCCTTAATCCACCATCGATGTTTCCGTTTCTTATGTTGCTTCCTTTTGTAGTGACTAATTACTACTAATGCTGCAGTGACTTTACTTGCGTCAACCATGGTGGTTAATGAGGAATTGAGAAAATCGTGGCTCGGGTTGAGGCTTGCCGTTCGATACGATATTATGTGTGCTCAAGTGGAGACGCATGTACTTTCCGCAGCCCGCGGCACACTCAGGATATGGCAGCTCGCCACGAGGCTGTGCAAATGGATACCCAGCTTAAGACGCACGATACGAATTAAATCCTCGGGTATATTATCATTTTAGCTTCATTTACTCCTTCGTCCTGTATTAAATTTAATTTTGCGAATAAGGTACTACGCATATGTTGTATTCTATGACAAAAATCGATAAATGATTCGCCAGACTTAATTTTCACTTGTTCTAATTCGATAGCTATGGAATCTTCAAAACGCGAATCGCCAAAATGTTGAATTAAAATATCTTTAAGAGTGTTCCAACAATTAATATCATCACGCTCACTTAACAAATGTGCTGCTCTATCTGTTAATCGGCTGCTTATCGCATGGAATACATATAATGTTTGTGTGGCATTATTAGGGTCTGCGAAAGACCTGTATATGTATTGAGCTTTCTTAATAAATAAATGTAATAATCCTTCCTCTCCTTTAAACTTAGGTATAAGACAAAGTAAATCCTTAGGTATAACACGTAATTGTTCCATTATTTATATTAATATAACAATTTATATAATTAATAATTTTATTTCTTAATATATCCTTTAATTTCTTTAATTATGTATATTGTTATTTTTTATAACACAATTTAATAAAATTTCTTTATTTCAAATTAATTTTCAATAGGTACTTAATTATTAACCTTAATGATATAGAATAAATTGCCTATGCTTGTGCAATTTATTTGGTTCGATTTAAGAAAAATCAAATAACACTATAATTCTAGCAAGCAAAAATAGATGGGAACAGAGATGGATGTGAAAAGGTTTACTCACAGTACACTCGAACTCATCCTTTCACCTGGGCTAGGAAGTCTTCTTTCTTGATGTCCTGTTTCGAAATCGATAAATTTATTTCGATTCGTAGATTTCGCGAAATTGCAAGACGGCACCGTAAACTGCTTCACGACGATTGATTTGGGAGTCTTCTTATATGAGCGAGCTTTACACACGAAATCCTACCGGATGCGCCAGTCAAGATTCGAAATTGACTCAGGACGTTTTTAAAAAGACTTTGTTAATAAACTTATAACTATTAATGTGCGATACATTACTTATATACTACTTAATTAATCCGCGATGGATTCTAACCTAAGGCTACATGTCCAATACATGTGCGAGCCAAACTAAGACTATGCTAATTCTTATTCTAGATCTTTAAGCTAACGAACAGTTATCAGTATTCACACGCAAGACCACCCGTCTTCAGGACGCAATTCAGCAATCTACGCCCACGCTTACGCTTGAATTGTTATGGTCTCCGGTGCAGTTCCGTGAATACCGGGATGCATAACTACTACGACTCAGAAACAAAGCTCCTCGCCCCCGACCCTCCTCGCTCTCGACCCCGACACTAGATGGCGCTAGTGCCGGGTATATGAAGTCAACTTAGGCGCGCAACACTGCCCCCTCCTAAGACATGCTCGTCCCGAGCATTATCAGCCCCATAATAACGCGCCAGGCGATCCTCATGGACGATCTTAGGAGTCCCTTTTGCGCCTTTCTGTAACGGCTCTGCAATGTCAAGGGCTATCCTATCCTATGGTGCACAAACATTGTACAATTTCGATGCTCCTCTACTACGTGTCTGAGGTCCCTTCACAGCCTCACAACTTGTACACGAGCGACACCAATCCTCGACATCGTCACGATAATGGACCCAGTAAAACTGTTCTCGGATCTTCAGTAGAGTTCGTTTAACTCCCAGATGGACTCCTGAACAACCATTATGGTGCAGCTGTAGAACATTCGGCACTTTAGCTTTAGGGACAACCATTTGCAAACGACAGCTGTCTCCTCGACCATTGTCCCATTTACGGCACAGGACTCCATCCTGAATCAGCAAGCTGTCCCATTGGGCCCAATAGCTTCTAGTGGTCGAACTCATCGCTGAGACGTCGTAGCACGGGCCTTCATCCATTCCAGAATCGGCTTGATGTCCGGAACTTCCTGCTGTGCATGTCGTAGGCAGTCCTTCCACTCGTTGCGGAGGTGGTCTGTCCTGAGCATCCTCACGGATACCACTTCCTTACTCTCTTGCTTAGCACAATGTTTGCAATCTTCAGGACAAGGTCTTCTTGACAATGCATCTGCTTTGCTATGAGATTTCCCGCTGCGATGTCTGATAGTAAAAGCACTTCCCTTCTGAGATCGTTCACTTTCCCTTTCTAGGGTTCGCTTAGGGCAGCTGGATCGAAGATGGCCCCTTTCTCCACAGCCATAGCACCTAGGGCTGTTTTCTTTATTGTGGTCGCGAACCGTAACTGCTGCAACCTCCCTAGCGTGAGGGGAACGATGATCCTGCCACAGCCAGGCGGTGCCGTTAGCTGCACTACCCTCTCGAGATCGATCAACTTCCTTTCTACAGTTCGCTTAGGGCAGCTGGATCGAAGATGGCCCCTTTCCCCACAGCCATAGCACCTAGGGCTGTATTCTTTGTTGCGGTCGCGAACTGCAGCTGCTGCAACCTCCCTGACGCGATGGGAACGATGATCCTGCCGCACGGCTTCCACCTCCAGTGCATGGGCCAAGGCGTCCTTAAGAGTCTCGTAGTGCCCGAGCCTCACAGCGGCTCTGACTTCCAGATCGCGGATGCCGTCGATAAATGTCTGCACCAGGTTCCCTTCAATGAGTGCAGGTACAGACTGGTATGCTTTTCGAACCATCTTCTCCACCTCGAGGGCCCACTGCTGCAGGTTTTCGTTGCTGCGTTGCACGCGATCTCTAAGCTGCGCACGAATGATGTGTTCCAGATGAGCGTCGCCATATCTCGCCTCCAATGCCTCAAGGAGCTGCTCGTAGGTCACTTTCTTACCGAGAGCTTCCAACACAGTTAAGGCTTGGTCGCGCAGGCCTAAAGTGAGTGCAGTCATGACCTGGCTTTTATTCCAATCGTTCGCCTCCATGACAGCCTCGAACTGGATTTTGTAGGCCGACCAGGAAGAGGTCCCGTCGAACCTTGAACCCACGTAGCGAAGGTGTTGCAGCTACTACGGGAGCTGTAATTCCATCCCCCAGTTTGAGGTCGTTCAGCGTTTTCTTCACGTCAGCCATCACGTTGTCAACCCGATTGTTCACTTGGTCGATTCGGATTTCAGCTTTCTCGATTCGGGTTTCAGCTTTCGCGATTTGGGTTTCAGCTTCCGACAGGCGGTTGTCATGTTGAGCAATCCTATCCTTCACCTCGTTTATCTCCTTCCCGAAGGTAGCGTCAAGGTCCTTCATGAGGAGCATCTGCTCTTCCAACCGACGGGCCTGTTCCTCTTGTCCGCCCCGCAGCTGCTATTCCAAACGACTGACCTGTTCCTCCCGACGGCGCGCCTGTTCATCCTGTCCGCCCCGCAGCTGCTCTTCCAACCGACGGGCCTGTTCCTCTTGTCCGCCCGCAGCTGCTCTTCCAACCGACGGACCTGTTCCTCTTGTCTGCCCCGCAGCTGCTCTTCCAACCGACGGACCTGTTCCTCCTGTCGGCGAGCCTGTACCTGCAGCATCACCATCAGAGCACCTAAGTCAGGTGCTACAGATGTAGGAGCTGCTGACGGGCTAGCCTCCGTGGCTAGCACTTGGCCCTCTGACGACTGCGGCGTTGCACCACCAAATCGTCTCTGGTCCGTCTCCTGCTGGCGTTGACTTCGGGTACGGACACCCTCCATCTCGTCCTTAGGTAAAATCGGTATGATTTTATCCCAATTCTGACACCAATTGTTACGAGCTTGAGGTTCGAGACAATAAAAACTGCCGATTGAATTACCAAAATTTACACTTTAATTCACTTTACATTAATTAATACATAACACTAATAATTAACCACACTGATTCACTTTATTTCGCTCTGAAGCTTCGCTTGTCTCGCCAAATTCAATACTTCCCCGACCGCATCTTGCAGCGCCTTTAAATATACATTTTTCACCGAAACGTCAAGAATATTCAAGTAAATACGCGCGCCAACCGACCAGGCGCCGAAAGTTCGAGTGTAGGCTTCTAGAAAGCTTAATTCTTCTATTCGATGCTAGATGGCGCTGTTGGTCGAAAATCAAGATTGACATTTTCTAGGAAGCTCTCCTCGCTAGATGGCGTTAGTGCCGGGTACATGACGTCAACTTAGGCGCGCAACAATATAGTTATGCCGAGTTGTTAATACCTATTTCGTGAGCTTCAACGTGTACACTTTGCCGATGAAATTACAAGATTACAATCGGGCAAGATTTGTAGGCTTTTGTCCAACTCACATTTGAGTTTCCATCAACGACACTCTATAGTTTTACCGCGTAAGGATCATGTTTGAATTTATTAGTTGATAATCACCATAGCTTAAATTGTCACGCTGGCCCTGAATTGTTGATTTTGTATCAGAATTATTGGATTCTTTCTGCACGTAACTTAATTCGCAATCGGGTGCACAAATGTATAACTTGCTTTCAAGTTCGTCCTAGGCCGTCATTCCCGAGAATGGCGGACCTTAGGTCTTTCCGTGTAACACAGTCCGTAAAGCACATTTTTCAAGTCTAACGCCTTTGAAATCTTACCTGCTATAGTTATGGACGGTGGTAAACTTCATGTTCTTTCACGTCATAACTTATTAGACCGGCTGGTGCAGTCATTTTGGAAGCGATGGAAAACGGAATATGTTGCAATCTCGGCAGATATGGAACACAACAACTTCATTGGCTATTGGGGATCGTCGAAGAGGTTTTCCCAGATCCGACGGTGTAACTAGGATAGCTCGTGTTAAGACCACGGCCGGGTCATTTATGAGTCCTGATGTCCGTCAGTGCCCTTTACCCAATTAATAGTTTCGAATCGCCTTTCTAGGCCAGTTAGTAGATAAGATTAGGTTTAATATTAACTTTAGTTAGTTTGAAG